ATAGAAAGCAGAACAATTATAAAATGCCTTCCCAAACAACCAACTCTGCCAAAGCTGATCCATGGAACATTAATAAGGAGGAAATTGAAGGCCAAAGGCTTGAATTATATGAAATGATGAAAGAGGAGACAAGAAAAAAATCAATAAGGTGCTTGACAATCTCAAAGATGATGTTACTAGACAAATAATGAGCACGACAAAAGAAGTGAGCTTGCAGAGGACACTAAGGAAAAAGCTAAATGAGCGAAACAGAATGATACAAGTGAATGACCAGCTTGGCAAAGAATTAAGAGTAACATGAAAAGGCACCAAAAAAACAAAAACAAAAACAAAAACAAAAACAAAAACCCAGGAAGTAAAACAGTTCTACTGAAAGACAGGTAGTAGAAGTAACCAGTGGGTGGGCAGAACGTGGAACTAGAAGAGGGGGCAGAGGCAGGCGACCATGTACTCCGAAATGCCTTGTAAGCAGCAGAAGAACACAAGATGGGCCCAACAGCAAAACAGATCTGGAAGACATTCATCAAGTAAAGCCAACAAGGCAGAGAAGCAAGGACCACGAGCTCTCATGTGTGTAAGCAAAAAAACCAAAACAGGAAAAAATACCAAGATGAAAATAAAATAGAGATTATTGGAAGCGGGGAAGTATCTAAAGGAGAGAAAAAAGGAGTTGAATTTGTGTGGAAATATCATAATGAACCACTTAATAAGGAGCTAATAAAAAATACATGTTTGTAAAAAATTACAGTAAAAGATACTTTGTCATTAAACCTCTCAAAACACTCCCGCTTACTTTTAAAAGAACCATCCCATCTTCTTTGCAACTTTCTAAAGCAGTTTCTGAAATCTTTTTTGTGTTTTTAGGGGATATTACCAAAAAAAAAAAAAAAATTGCCAGGTGTGGCAAGACACCCCTGTAATCCCAGAACTGAAGAGGTGAGGAAGAGGTTCCAGATAATCTTGGGCTACCTAGTGAGTTCAAGGCCAGCCTGAACTACATAGTGAAATCCTGTCTTTAAATAAGTGAAAAATAAATGATGGCGAATGCTGCCGCTCACTGCCATCTAACGGAAAGGCAGGCTGATAAAAACATTACAGGGTGTCCTCCTCCACCTTGTTCACCTGATTTGCCACCACATGACTTCTGGTTCTTCCCAAAGTAAAAATGACCATGAAGGGGAAAAGCCTTGAATCAGTTCAGGACACTGAAGAAGCCGTAACAGCACAGTGAAGATCCCCACCATCTGTAATAGGGAGCTAAATGACCCTAAATCAACCCCACCGAACAAGAAACAAACATTCTTTAAAGTCATATGGTAGCAAAAAGAAGGGCTAAATGTTTTATTTATTAATTAATGTTTTTATAATTAATTAATATATTAACTGGAGCTGGGGGTATGAGCAGGGCTGTACACAACAAGTAGTACAAGTCCTCAATTATGTCTGCAGAAAGCTGACAGGCCACAAGTAAAGTGGATTACAAAATAATGTCTCCTACTCTTAGAGCCATTCAACGTCCTGATGGAATTTAAACTGACCACTATTTTTATTTGCTTCAGGTAATATTCCCTTCTTTTGATCTCATATCATTGGTTTCCCTTATCAGGCGAACCCAGGTTGTCCATCATACTTAACCATGAACAAAGCTGGGTCACTTTTCCAATGTCCTTCCTTGTCAGCCTCTTTCTTTTGACTTGTGACTGGGGAGACTTCCTGGGAGCTCAGTGACCCAAGGGGTATGAGTTCATCAGATGTTAGGGGACACGGTTAGGTAGGAGGGTTTTACTTGGAGTGTCAAATCCACACTAGAACTCCTTTCTCAGGCAATCAGCAGTCTGTCTTTCCTTCTTTTTTCTTTGTATTTGTTTGTTTACCTAACATATATCCATCTACCAGCAAACTTTTTTTAAAAAATGTATTTAGGACAGGGTCTATAGGGTCTCACTATGTGGATCAGACTCGTAGTGATCCTCCTGTTTTCAGCTTTGCAAGTACTGGGATTACAGGAAACACCAACATGCCCAGTCTCAATCGCGTCTCAGCATGCTCTGGGGACAGGGCTGGCATAGCACACTGGGGATCGAACTGTGGCCCCTGCATCTACCTAAGCAGGAGCTTTAATCTGCTGAGCTAGCTGGCTGGCCCTGCCAGCAAACTTCTGACAGATGTAAATATTCCTCTACATGCACACTGGGGTCTGGAGGGGACATGGACACTGTCTCGGGTTTTTTTTTTTTCACTCCTTGCTGGGACAAAAAAACTGACAACCAGAGTTAAGAAAGGAAAAAGTTTATTCAGTTCACAGTTTTGGGGGGTTTCACTCTGTATTTGGCAAGCTCCAAGGATGGGTGGCACATGGCGGAAGGCAGCAGTTCATGGTGGAGGAAAAGAGTAAAACCGAAAGAGCAAAAAGGGAAGAGCAGCAGCCGCAGAGGTAGAGCCAGCAAGCCTGTCTCCCTTCCTTATACTGTATTCAGGCTATCTGTCCAGGGTGGATGTAGCACTCACACCCATAATCCCAGCGGGACTCACACTCATAATCTCAGCATTGGACCATGAATTAATCCCAAACTCTAGAAGCCCACCCCAGTGACTGCATGAAGCTTTGGGGGGACAGCTAGACACAAACCATAACAGACACAATGGTCAAAGCAGTTCATGCCTAGGTTTCCAGTTAACTCCTGTCTTCAGTCTTCCCTGTAATCTTTTAAAATTGCCAAGTTCAAATTCATATCCTTTCTGAGGCTCTAAGGACACAGCAGTTCCTGGGCCAGACACCCTTGAAGTATATCCAGGCAAGTGCTTCTCATTAATCTGATTCTTGAGGCAAGAAAGGACGCATTTAAGAAGTGAAAATCAAGTGAGCCTATTAGTAATACTTCCACTGGGAAGAGCCGTTGTCAAAGTGCCTGGCCTACTTCAGGAACTCGATGAACATTTGTGGAAGCAATGAAATAATAAATTGCATCTTTTTAAACCTTAGTCTGTTTTTAAAAGCAAAGGATGGTACACATTTCTGTAAATATACTGAAAGTTTAGTTGCGGACCTTAAACAAATGAATTTTAGGACACAGAAAATGAATTTCAGTGGAGCTGCTCAAGAAACTCACAAGGAAAGTTCTCCAGGCCCTCTGGATGACTCTTGCTGCTCTTTCCTGCTTTGTCAACTCCCTTTTCTGAGATCTTTGAAAGTTCTAAAAAAAAAAATAAGCAAAAAGTGTTCATTAAAATTATTTTAAAAGCTCCATGATGATTCTGCCACTGAAACTCAACAGAAATTAAATAGAAATGTATAAAGGAAGCAATGAAAATGAGATTTGTGCCCTGCATGGTGGCACACGCCTGTAAATCCAGCACTAGAGGGCCTGAGCCAGGAGGATCATCATAAGCTGAAGGCCAGCTTGAGCTACGTGCATAGTGAGTTCAAGGCCAGCCTCAGATACATAGTGAGACCCTGTGTAAAAAAAAAAAATGAGATTTGGTATCAAAATATTTCCATTCAATTGTCACTGATTATTGATTGCCCAATATGTTCTACTTTGTTTATTTTTTCCTAATCACAACATAACTTTGTATAGCACATTTTATTAATATGTTTATGTTAGGGAAGAAGAGACTAACCATTAAGGCTATGGTGAAATAGTAACCAAAGCAGGATTGAACTTGAAGTTTGCATAAATAAATGCAAAACAATCAAAATTATCCCATATATATCAGATCATACTTAAATTAGAAATAAATGGTTAAAAAAAAACCCACAAAGAAATTATTTAGGCACAAAGAAATTAAGCAATATTCTGTTGAATAATCAATGAAAAATAAATCAAGGAAGAAATTAGTTCCTAGAATCAAATGATGCTGCCAGCAAAACATACCAGCACTTGTGGAGTTCAGTGAAAGCAGTGCTGAAAGGGAAGTCTATAGCTGTGAACACCCACCTCAGAAAACTAGGAGACCCAGGAAATAACTCAGCAGCACAGCGCCTGCCTGGCAAGCACCAGCTCAATTCCTGGTACCAAAACAGAAGAAGTGGGGGGGGGGGGGGGGAGAAAAAGGGGGAAGAGGAAGAGAAGGAGGGGGATGAGGCAAAGGAACAGGAGGAGGGGGAAGGGGAAGAGGAAGAGGAGGAAGGGGAGGAGGAAGGGGGAGGGGAGGGGGAGGGGGAGGGGGGAAAGAGCGTGAGCCCTAATGAATAATACAATGGTGAACCTCAAGGTTTTAAGAAGGCAAGAACAATCCTAATACAGAGCTAGTACAAAGCTAGTATGAAGCAGATATTAGTAATATTGAGACTAAATATACAAAGAATAAACATATCAAAGGGTTGGTTACCTACAAAACAAACTAAATAGACAAATCTTTAGCCGTCTTACAAAAAAAAAAAAAGAAAAAGAAAAAAGACCCAAATCAATGTAGTTAGAAGAAAAAGTTGAAATCCCAACAGACATTCAGATTTTTTTTCCTGGTTACAAAGTATCTTTTATACATGTGTTGTACAATATGGGCTATTTTTATAGAATACATTTTTAGAACTGCTGTGACACAAGGTATGCATGTGCATATTTGCACTGACACTGGAAGACTGTGGGAAACCTGCTAATAGTGATTCTCTCTGAGGAGGAGCCAGCGTACAAAGGGACCTGGAATCAGGAATGTAAAATATTTTATTTCACTGTGCTTTTAATATTGTTTGATTTTCTACAAGGTATATGTAGTTTAGACATATATATATATATATATATACACACAGCACACATATACATACATATCTTCATTAAAAGAGCATGCATGTAAACATTTGTCAAATTGTCCTCAAAAATGTTGTCTCATTTACACCCTTAAACATTTCACACAATGGCTTAATTCTAGATTTTACAAAAGTGAAAAACTAAACACAAATAGGACACTGGAACTGTACTGGTCTTCTAACTCTTTAAAGAACTAAGCTTTGTGGCTTTTCTCTGTTTTCAGTGCACAGTGCTTGGTGTTAGCACATAACCAAGACATGTCTGGTATGTAATATCACATTAATATTATTAATGATAATTCAGGAAATGTTCCGCATTCTCTCCAGTACATTCTCAATTTTGTAAGTAAATTTCACCTTGGGCTTAAAAACTGCCTTTCCTGTGCATGTGTTTCCCACGTACTTTGCTCACAGAGTTCCACCTGCTTGTCCTGTCACACAGGTAGGGATGTCAGAGCCTGCTGACAAAGTAAGGCAATGTCTCCACGTGGAACGGTCAGTGAGCTTGCTTTTGAGTGTATTTACTATCTCATTCCTCTACAATGTAAATTCCCTCAGAGCAGATTCCTTTTGTTTATAGCTGTATATGTTACCCTGATTTTTGGCAAATCATAGACAATTGAAAAAATTATCTGGTTGACTGAATAGGAGACCAATTAATTAATAGGCATTTATATAACAGTAGAATTCTGTGAGAATATTAAAAGTGATGAAGATACATATGAACATGACAACTGGTTCATATTTTTAATTTTTAAAAAAGTTTTTTAAACAATCTATGGTAAGCTATTTATAATAAACTCTTCCCTATTCAGATATATGTATATAAACATAAATGTGTGTCAACATTAAGTAGTGAAAGAACTGAGGAATTCAAAAGCACATTTTCATGTGATCATTATGTATATCTAAAATGCACCAATAAAAATTAATGAGAAAAGTAAAAGCCCATTTTTTCCTTACTTCTATAATGAACTGTATTGAGCAAATTCATTTTCATTAACTTTCCAGAAGCAGGATAACACACTGCAGAAAATTAACAAGCAGGGTGGGGCCACGGGGTGCCACAGGGAGCTGTGGCCCCTTACAAGCTTGTGGCAGGTTGCGCTACTCCTGGTGCAGTCCATGGCCCAATGCAGTCCTGAATTGTGAGACCAAATGAAATAAAGAAACTCAAAGCACTTGGCCACGTGTAGTGATTTGGTGTTGCTGAGGATACAAACACATAGCTAGGGGATTTCTAAGTTTGTCTATGTAGGTGTTCTTCTTTTTCTCATAATTTAAATTTTATTCCTACAAGAACAATCATCTGCAACCCTTTGGAAATATGTTCTAATATATATTTTTTAAAAGCATCACTCTGACCTGTGTGCATGCCTGCTTTCCCAGAGCCCTGGGAGGCTGAGGCAGGAGTATCACAAGTTGAAACCCAACCTGGGGAATTCAGTGACCTCAGCAACGCCCTGTCTCAAATACAAGTGCTGAGGAGGTAGTTGTGTGTGAAGACTCTGGGTTCAATCCACAGCTCTCCAAAGTAAGTAAATTAATTAATTAATTAAAAAGTATTCTGAAGTGCTGCAATAAAAGGGGGGAAACAGTGTGGTTGCTTGACCATAGTTATAAAAATTAAAATACTCATAACTCATCACTACTTTACTACAGTTTGCTATGATTTAGTTTTTTGTTTGTTTATTTGTTTCTTGAGTCAGGCTCATGTTTTGTTGTTTAGGCAGGTCTTGAACTTACTATAATCCCATCCAGGCTGGCCACAGTCCTCCTGCTTCAGCCTCTTGAGTGCTGGGATCACAACTGTCCACTGCTATGTGAGGCTGTTCAGCCCTCTTGAAGTTACTCAGGCCTGTTGCAGGGTTTCTTTACAGTGGCATTATTGGTATTTTGGGCTGGGGTGTTGTGTGTGTGGTGGGGATCCGTCTGCGCATGACAGGATGTTTGGCAGAATGCCATTCCTTTGTCCATCAGATGCCAGGAGCTCAGCTGTGACAACCCTAAAGGTCTCAGTGCCTCAGTCGGGGGCCCCTTGTACACTGCATCTACAGGGCAGAAATAACATCTAATACTATAAAGCTGCCCATATCTTTCCACTTTCGGAGGCCCTTAGATAACCTGAATCGTCCATGGTGGGAGTAAGGTAAAGAAATAAAGATAGGTAAAGAGGAAAGAGGGAAACTAACCCCCTGGTTTCCTTCTCATCTCACACCTTCGGAGTCAGGTCTCCGCTCAGCTCAGCATGTGTGCTTTTTAGTCACATGAGGAGAGTGATTACATGGTTTATCAGCCCTGCGTTCACCTCGTCTATCTTATCACACTTGAAGACTAAGGAGGAGACAGGCACAACTGAAATAGTTTTCAGGGTTTGCAGAGTCACCCAAATGCTAACTTTTTTTCAGAGCCCAGATCCAGAAACCCTAGAGCGATGCCTAAAATCTTCAAAACTATAGTCACCATGTTCTAGGCAAAGCAGCACCTGGCAGGGCTCCCCTCCCAGGCGAGAACAATTGTCTAGCTTGTGGGAATCAAACTGTTCCTTAAGCCAAAATGATTCCTCAAGAGCGAAAAAACCAGAATGGAGATAGGAATCGTCCAGCGCTTGGACTGCCTCAGCTAACCCACTAAAGCTGGCCTGGAGCTTTATTTGTGTGTATTTTTAGTGCAAGGTCTACAGGGCCTACAGGGGTCTCACTACACAGATCGGACTCGTAGTGATCCTTCTGTTTTCAGCCTCCCAACCACTGGGATTACAGGTGTGCTCCACCATGTCCAGGCTCAGTCATGGTCTCAGTGTGTCCTGGGGGCAGGCCGGCACAGCAGACCTGGGAATCAAACCCTCACCACTGTGCTCTGCCCATGCAGGTGCTTTAGTCCACTGAGCTGTTTGGCTGGCCCTCATGGCCTGGAGCTTTTGTGAGCAGCCAGAGCGACTCTCCTCAGCTACTCGATGGTGCCTTTATTACCCTGCCTAAGAAATCTGCCTGTGCTGCACATGACAGACACATCTTGGAATTCTTTTTCCATGATGTGAGCCAAGAACCTCCTTGGCAGATGGACCCGAGGTCTCCATCTCCTCTTTGGGGATTGCTTTGGATCCTCCAGTGGAGAGTAATGAAGTATTGTAAAGCAGTGTTTGGGTTTTTTTATTATTTATCTAGATTTAAGAGATGATAAAAATATTAATACAGATTAAAATATATTGCATATGTCACTATGGTGTGAATTTTAAATATGTAATTCATATATAATTTATACTGTGTCTGTCACTATAATATAAATAGAACAAAACATTTGGGAAGTATCTTCCAAGTGTTCATATTTTTATTTTTATCTTTTGGTGCGAGGCATGGGACTCGGGGCCTCCTTACTTATGCCAAATGTGAGGCTGGGGATTTAGCTCAGCAGCACAGTGCCTGCCTGGCAAGCAGAAGGCCCTGAGTTTGATTCCAGGCACCAAAAAAGAAAAAAGCAAACAAAACAGCCAGGGAAATAGCGCAGGGTCACAGTGCCTGCCTGGGAAGCTCAAGGTCATGAGTTAAATTCTTGGTACCTAAAATAAAAACTCATGCCAAGGGTGCCTTGCACCACGGAGCTACAGCCCCAATCCCAGCATTCAAAATTTTTCTGGTTCAGAAACAAGTGACATTATTGAGGAATGATGAAGTTCCACATATTTCAAGAGCGAGAGCATACTGAATTGTGTAAAATTTTGCTAAGGGTCAAACATATTGAGATTATTGAGATATTTTGAGACAGAAGCACACTGACAATTCTTTGGAGTGTGATAAGGAAGCAGAAAAATGGATTGGTAGCTGGAAGATAGGAATAGAGACAATTTTTTTCTTTTAATATGTAGGTTGTTAAAGCATGTGAAGATGTTGTTAGGTGTGGTCCAGTCGAGCACACATTAAAATTGTAAGGGATATGAATTTAAGGGTAAAACTCTGAGTAGCTATAGAAAGGACAGTGGAGGTAGAACGATTGCTGATCTTAAAGAAATGACTTATTTCATATGGTTATTATGCGACTCCAAATAAACTAACCCAAGTGAAAATATTGCTTAAGTATTAAGTACTAAAATGTGTTGTTAGCCCATTGTTCAAGTGAAATATTTTATTGCACTCTTGTGCCACTCACACATTCAAATAGAAAAATTTTCTAAGTGCGTTATCCGCTTTGGGAAGTGCTGTTTCAAGTCAGTAACTTTTATTATACTAGACATCGCTTTGCTGTATCAATTTTTACACTTCATATGAAAATTCCCACAACATATGCTGAGACTGTTCTTTTTACATGTACTGAAAACTTTTCATTTCATTTAAAAGCTGTACGCCATTCTTAGGATTACTTTGCTGTGATCAACACCTGTCCCTCTACTTCGGCTGCACTAGCAAACGCTACCCACTCGACCTCGCGTATCATAGCCATTATCAGTTTCCTAATTTTGCTTTGCCTCTATCAGCGGTTCTCCCCACTGAGGACAGAAGGGACAAGAGCTACTCCTTGAAAAGACCTTTCCCCTTCTCCATCTCTAAATATTTCAGAAAAACGATCCAAAGCCATCTTATCAAACAGGAAAGAAAAAAAAAAAAAGTCCAGAGAAAAATGCAAGGTGGGTTAACAGGCGTCTCAGCAGCAGCCGGAGCCTGACAGGGCTTTTCAGGGAGACCGACACGAGGTCACAGCCAATTACAAGGAGGGGCCTGGGACGGGAGGAAGGAAACCTCCGTAGGAGGATGGACGGGGGGTAAGACATCTGGAGAGTGGAGCTGCAGGGCCCTGAAACATAAAACTCAAGCCCCGTGGCCACAAAGAGAAACGGACTAGTCCTAGTACCGGGTGAGAAGGCGGAGTCTCCATTGCCCTCAGCTGCCAATGCCAGCCGTCCGGAGCTGGGCTTGTTTCCCTGGTAACAGCGTCCTGGGAAATGAGGTAAATCTAGTTCCGGTGTCCTGCCCGCGCCCCACTTAGTCCCGCCTTCCAGCGCTCCCCGCCCACCAAGCCAAAACAGATGGTCGTAGGTGAGAGCTCTTGGCCTTGTTAAAAGCTCTCCTTTCGATAATGACTTTGCGAAAGCAAAGGATTTGGTAATGTAAAGTCGAAGGGATTGTCTATGAAGTTTTTTTCCCCACTATTATTAGTCTAAATATTTACAAAATAGTTAACATCAGCCTTAGGTTTGCAGTACATAATGAACAGGTTCACCGTGAGGGATTTGAGCATGTACATAACATATCTGGAGTCTTCAGCTCTTTTTCCTTTCTAACCTTTCTCCAACTCATTTACTAAAGCTATGTTTTCCATTTTTTTTTTTTCCTTTTTAAATCTCTTTTCCTTCTTTTCCTCCTCTTCCCCTTTCCCCTATCTCTTGTTCCACTTTCCATTTGAACCAGCTTTTCCTATTTTCTAACCTCTATGCTCTATTCCGCTTGGTATTTATACTTTGGTTCTCATGCACAAGAGAAACAATGTTATACTTGTGTTTATTTCCCTGAAGATTATCCTCTGGAGGTGCGTCTGTTTACCTAAAATGTCTCAACTTTATGGTAGAATACCACTCCTTGTGTATATTACCACATTTTCTTTATCCATTTGTTTGTGGGTGGGAATGTGGGCTTTTTCCAAGGTTGAGCTGTTACAAAAGGTGGTGCTATAAACACGAATGTGCAGGTACCATTGTGGTATATAACTTCACCTCTTTCAGGAAGACAGCTAGAGAAAGCCTGCTGTGTCAAACAGAACTTCTAGTTTCAGTTTCTCGAGGAATCTCCAAACTGAGTTCAATAGTCTTGGTACCGCTTTATACTCACACCGAGATGGAAACGGGTTAATTTTCCTTGCAGGATTGCCAGCATTTGTTATTAGCTGATTTATTATTTATGTATTTATTTTGTTCTTTTTCATATAGGATCTCGCTACGTAGGTCAGGCTGACCTCAAACTCTCAGCAATTTTCTTGCCTCAGCCTTCCTGGTACTGGAACTCCAGGTATGTGCCCCATGCCCAGCTCTGGTTGGCTTCGAGATAATCGCTATTCTTTCTGGAGTGAGATGGAATCTGTATTTTTAATGTACATTTCTCAGATGGCCAGAGATGTTGAACATCTTTTCATTTATTTATTGGTCTTTTGTACTTCACCTGAGAAGTGTCTGTTTGTTTTAGATGGCCATTTTGGTTTGGGTCTTTAAATTGGGGGGAGGTCTAATTTTTGAGTTCTTCATATATTTTAAATAATAAGACCTATGTTAAGGAAGGAAATTATAAAGATTAATGCAATTAGGACTAAACAAAAATTCAAAGAATTAAAGAATCCAAGAATTGGCTCTTTGAAAGACTGAATTGACCAACCCTTCCCCAAATTATCAAAACAAAGAAAGAAAAGACCCACATCCATGGAATTAGAAATGAAAAGGGCATCTAGAGGTGCATGCCTGTAACCCCAGCACTTAGGAGACTGAGACAGGAGGATTTCTGTGAGTTTGAGACCAGCCTACATTACATAGTAATTTCAAGTCCAGCCTGAACTACATATCAAGACTTGTTGCAAAAAACAGAAACAAAAACAAATGAAGAAAAAAGATGAAATCACAACATCATTGGTAACTACTTTGAGAACATGTACTGTAATAAAATGGAAAATTTAGAAGAAATGAATAGGTTCTTAGATACATATGAATTGCTAAAGCTGAATCAAGAAGATAAAAATGTGAGTAATCTGCTATCAGTTGATCAAATTGACTAAAAGAACCTACCAGCTAAGAAAAGTTCAGGTCCTGATAGACTCACTGATGAATTCTACAAAAACCTTAGAGAAGATCTAATATCAATATTCCTCAAATCTTTAATAAACTCAAAAGGGAAGCAGAACTCCCAAAATCATTCCTCGAAATCTTACCCTGATACCAAAACCAAAGGACTATAGGCCAATCTGTTTAATGATTATAGGTGAGAAACTCCTCAATAAGAATGCAACAAAGCATCAAAAAGATTTATACATCATGACCCCAAGGATTCAGGGATTCAACATACACAAAATAATACATATATCATATATCATAATATAATATATATATATATTATCATAGTATAATATATCATACTAATAGAAGTAAGGACAAAAAGCAAAGCACAAAATCATCTTAACAGATGCAGAAAAGATATTTGGCAAAGTTCAACAATCTTTAACAATAATAATCCTAAAGAAATTAGAATATAAATTCTCTCAATCTACAAGACAATATAGTTCTAAAAATATTAGCCAGAGAAATTAGACAAGAGAAAGAAAAGGAATATGGAAAGGAAAGGAAGAAGTTAAATTATAATATTTGCAGATCTACATAGAAGACCCCAAAAATTCCACCAAAAGGCTCCTAAAGTTAATAATGAAATTCAGTAGCATAATAGGATGCAAAGTCAGCACTCAAAAAATCAATACCATTCTTCTACATAAACAACAAACTCACTAAGAGAGAAATTAGGGAAATGACTCCTTTCACAATAGCATAAAGAAAAATGAAATACTTAGTAATTAACCAATGTGAGACATCTAAATTTTGAAAACTGTTGTGCTCTGCAAAAGGAGATCAAAGACAATATCAGAAAATGATGGGGCCAAAGAGGAAAGTGATTGATGATGTAGAGTGTGCCTAAGGAGAGTCACATGGAGAGAAAAAGTTTTCTCAAGCTTTCACAGAGAGCACATTGGCCAAGCAATGGCTGTGACTCATCCACATGGCTGACACTGACACAAGTTCTACAATCTGAGGTACAGGATCTCAGGATAAATCCTAAGGGGATTTCACTGACCTTATCAGACCCAAAAGCTACAACTTTTGTTGCATAGGTCCTGCTTTACCTTGGTCTTAAGCATCCAGCAGAAAAGTATAAAAACGAAATATAAAAAGGAAAGCCATGTTGTTATGTTGAGCTGTAGGGGACTCAGGTCAACAATTTCTGACATTGTCAGTCAAGCGGAAGACCCAATACTATTATGGGCTACT